AGAGAGAGAGAGAAACGAGAGCAGAGCGAGGTGTAGGGAAACCGAGGGGGAGAGAACCCGAGTGTGTGTGTGCGCGTGTGCGTGTGTGAGCGCGAGCGAGCGAGCGAGGGAGAAGAGCGAGAGAGTGCGAGCGAGAAAGAATAAAAGGAAAGATTTTTCTCTATGTATATAAAGATGGCCACGTTAGCAAACGGACAGGCTGACAACGCGAGCCTCAGTACCAGAGCGAGGTGTAGGGAAACCGAGGGGGAGAGAACCCGAGTGTGTGTGTGCGCGTGTGCGTGTGTGAGCGCGAGCGAGCGAGCGAGGGAGAAGAGCGAGAGAGTGCGAGCGAGAAAGAATAAAAGGAAAGATTTTTCTCTATGTATATAAAGATGGCCACGTTAGCAAACGGACAGGCTGACAACGCGAGCCTCAGTACCAACGGGCTCGGCAGCAGCCCGGGCAGCGCCGGGCACATGAACGGATTAAGCCACAGCCCGGGGAACCCGTCGACCATTCCCATGAAGGACCACGATGCCATCAAGCTGTTCATTGGGCAGATCCCCCGAAACCTGGATGAGAAGGACCTCAAGCCCCTCTTCGAGGAGTTCGGCAAGATCTACGAGCTCACGGTTCTGAAGGACAGGTTCACAGGCATGCACAAAGGTGAGTACACCTTTGCCGCCCAACTTTGCCCGGAGCAGGAGCGGCCGGCCGGCTTACTGGAGACGGGGCGAGAGCGAGCCGCGGGCGGACGCCGGGGAGGGAGGCGCTGGGGCAGCAGAGACCGAGCTGGGGTGCACCGGGAGCAGCTCGGTGGGGCAAGGCTGGGCTTGGGGCGAGGAGCCGCTGGAAGCGGCTCGGTAGAGAGGGAAGCGGGCTCAGGAGATGAAAAGAAAGAAGAGATCGAGGGGCAAATACGGCTGGGGTTTGGGGGTCTGGAGACTCGAAAGACTGGGATGGGGGCAGCTGCACCGGGCAAGCCCTGGAAACTGAGCGGAGCGGCAGGCGCTCTGCCGGCCCGGGAATTAGGGTGCTGTCCATCGCCGTGGTGCTGAAAATACTACAGACCTGCTCTCTTCCTCTGCTCTGGGCCAGAGCAGGAGTACAGCCGTCTAAAAGGGAGAGGGGTGATAAATTCAAAGAGATAATTTTTATTTTGCTATCAATTCAGCAGTAGACTCTCCCTGTCGAGCTGTGTGCCTCAATAATCCGATTGTGGTGTGACTGGTAAGAAAGGGTTGGTTTGGACGTATGGAAAGAGTGATAAAAACCTAAGGCAAGAATTAGCAAGGAACCAATCATCCCCTGGGTAGAGTGAGGGGCTAGGAGACCTGAACAATCCCCTTCCCCAGTGAAGCTTGGATTTGGGGAAGAATATATGCATGCAAGAGATGCATTTTGAAAGGTATACCCTAATTTAACCCAAACTCACCATGGAGGGGCTATATAGTACATTATCTCTCCCCAGAAGCAGTCACTGCTGGCAAGTACCTGGGGGAGGGGGCGAGAATAATCAAAGAATTAAAACCTACAACTTTTTAGGAAAGTGGTCATGGAATGGCCTGCAGCCTGCTTGTTTTCTCCTTGTTTTATTACCTTTAAGGCAGAGCCCCAAATGTGTTCAGTTGTAGAATGTGTGTGGGTGGCTGGTGGGTGACGAAATTAGCCCAGTGCTCTGCTACCTAACAGGAACGTATAGGATGTACACTGGGGATTGATCAGTGCTGGAGCTGTGTGGGCAAGTTAAATGCTTTCTGAGAGAGATTGATTGCCAGTCAAGGAAGGAGCACGGGGCTAAGGAAGTTGTAGGGGATGTATGGACGTTCCGTTTTTAATAAACAGTAGTGTGGAGAACCACGGAAGACGCTGTGCTAGAGCTGGTGGTTTTGAAGATGAAAACACATACGTACACCCACCCCCACACAGAGAGCCTCATCCTTGGCCACAAATGGACTATGAACAGAGCTGATCCTCCGGCACATTAGGTGCAGAGCGCGGAGCTGTCTGGCTCTCTAAACAGCAGAGGTTTTTTTCACTACCACAACCATCCTCATTCCCCAACCCTCCCTTCATTCGAATACTAAACAGAGCTCCAAACTCTTCCTAGTTGGAGTCCCGGAGAGCAGGTTTTCTTGGCTTTAGCATCTTCCAGCTTGCCTGCTGAGGAGTAAATCTTAAAGTTAATGGCATGTTAAGTAGCACAAAACACAGCGGAATGGAAATATACTGGGTTTGGTGGGGTGGGGTGAGGGTGGGGGCTGTCATGGAGAGAGAAAGCAACCTTTATCCAATATGGAGAAAATGTCTGTTCAGAAGAGAGATTGAAAGGGGGGAAGGGGAAGGCAGGCTTCGAAATAATATTTGAGAAAAAGAAACACTTTCTTTTCCTCTCCCTCTGGAGCAACCGCATCTTTGTAGTTTTCCCCTTTCCAATCAAGTCCCCTAGATGCTAATCAAGATTTGTATCAAACCTTTGTCATTCTAATAGGTCCCCAGTTTTAAAAATAGTCATAATACATTTTTAATCGCATGGAGGGGGGGGATCTTTGCCCATCTTACCAACCAGTTCTTGTGGTAATTTAAGATTTCAAAGTTTAAAAAAATCAGAACCTACTAGGGGCAAAAGACCGTTGTAGGGACCTGGGTGTCCTAGGGGATGTGGATAGGAACACTCTGTGTGCTTCTCTGTTTCCAATGAAGATAAACTTTAATATTATTCCTTGCTTTCTTCTCATCAATCCCTTGCTGATACGATCACTTTGCTTCTAGTGTAATTTGGGCTCTTCTATATTATAGTAAAGAAAAAGGATTTTGACATTTGCATTAGAAAACTACAGAAGATTGTGTGTGTGCGCGTGTGTGTGTGTGTGTGTGTGTGCACTATGTATATATTCACTCAGGATTCCTAGGACAGACAAAACTTCATTTCCCAAATAATTTTTCTTGCAAACAGACAGGCAGGCCCGCTGATTCTGGCATACTGGGTGCCTCTTGTCGCAGCTTACCTTTTACAGGTTGAGTGTGTATTTTTCCTTATGAAACTTCCTACTTCTCTACCCTTCCTGTTTTTGGAGTCAGGGTTGGACCACCGTGCCTATGACACAGTACCTAGAAAGCTGAATAAATGTGGCCATTTCTGAGGGCTGGTTTATTCCATCCTAGCAGAGTTTCAACTCCTACTCCACTGATGCAGTCTGATTTATTATCTAATCCTAATAAAATAAGCCTCTGGCCACCTTAAAAAATTACTTGCTTGCCATTAGTGATTAATTGCTGTTAAGTGAGAAAGCATGATGAGGCTTGAAGAACGGGACTGGGTTCCGGCTTCTCCATCTTCTCCATCTCTGAACTGATGAGGCTGGGGATGGAATCAGGCCTTTGTTAAGCCTGGTCTCAGGGCATATTTGTGGTTCTTGCTCTCTACCCTTCTTGAATGTTTAACTTCTAATGAATTACACTGGGGTGCAACTGAGGGACCTAACAAGATACTGGTCTCCGGTGTGGGTGGCAGGTGTTCGTTATTGGTGTCTAAAAATCAACAAAAACTCAATGAAATGTATGAGGTTTCAGGTGGGTATCTTGGCCACCTGCCATTTCAGGTGACTAAAAAACGGAAGGGGTTCTAAGGGTTAATGGAATACCTGTCATGCGTAGAGTGCACCTTAAAAGGCAATTACTCCAGTCAAATTGGAAGTCTGTGGAGGAGGGAGTGGGTGGGTGCCATGGAGCAAACCCCGCCATATCCAGGAAAGGCTGGGGAACTGGGGAGCAGCAAACAGCAGCTGTGGACTGGGGTAATTACTGTAAAGGTAAATTTACCCCCTGGAGATCAGCAAGCAATTGGAGGGAGGGGGATCTGGGTGGTAAGCAGAGAGAGAAAAGAAGGGGGAAAGGCCGGAATCAAAATTCAAAGAAACAATACCCACAGAAGAAAACCCAGTATAATGCAAACTATCCCGCTAACTAGAACCTTCTCTTCTCCCCCATACAAGAAGCACTTTTGGAAAGATTGTTTTTCCAGGCTCCAAAGAGAAAGACATTGTAGTATTGATCAAAGAAGAGAAAGGCCAGTTCCTGGGATTGCAGCAGAAATGAGCTGAGGGTCAATTTTGCCCCATTCTGTAGAATTTTTCTTCCTTGGAAAAGGAACAGGTCACTCAGTAGTCTACTCCTTTCCTCTCTCATTTTTGATTTACTTCTCTTTTCTTCATTTTATTTCCTGGAGAACAAACAGACAGTGACTGCAGATACACACATACATGCTCACCCATGCCTACATGCGCGCGCGCGCACACACACACACACACACACACACACAGTGCATCACACTGTCCATTCATAACTTCGGTCTTGTCTAGCAGGACAGGAGGAGGCAGCAAAAACTGAGTTACTGGGAAACGTAAAGACTAGTGCTCTCTAGATAGCCATATTATAATGCATTATCCTTGAACTCATTTAAGTCAATTTAAGTGGTATTTAGTATAATATTTATGAATTAATGTAATCTAAACATAGGGTTGTCCCCAAAGGTTTAAACTGCCTTTACTACTGATGTGTGCTTGTTCCCGGAGCCTGTGATGCATTTTAATCTAAACGGCCAAGTTCTCATCAGTGTCCCTCTTGTTATCTGGTTAAAACAGCTCTGCACCTGGGTACCTATTTTGCTTTGAGGGTTTCCCCCAACTGCATAGAGAGAAATCTACTCTAGTGACAGTCCAGGATTAGGGATAGGGGGTTCTCAATGCAGGAGCCACAGCTGTGAGGACTGTAGCCCCACCACCACCACACTTTCACACTCCATGCAGAAGGGTGGGGACTGAGTAATATAACCTTCTGTGGATACAGCTCCAAAGAGTGTATCATTTAAAAATGTCCTCACCGGCAGTCATACAACCTCGTATTTCAATTGTACTTAAGTAGGAACGTCTGAAGTCTTAATTTGGGATGTAGCTGGGATAAAAATTAGAGGTGTAGGCTATGGTTATGTTTGGCTGATTTGTAACCATCTTCATAATATGACATTTCATGTTTGCATTTTAAGATGCAACAATTTTTCAGAACATCAAATTTCCACCTCTTGATTTTAGCCAAGGTGGCTTTCCCCCCCTTTTCCTGTACAGATAGGTGAATTAAAACTGTGAGGTACCATCTGATTTCTGTTTTTGTAAAAGAGTGAAGCTGAGTATCAGCTCAATTAAGATGGACTTTTTTTAATTACTTTGAAAAATAAAAAGTCCATTCTGTCCAGGGAATGAGACTGGCCAAGCGACTGGTTACACACCTATAGTTGCTAAAAGAGAAATTTGCCTTGTTGGAGACAGAGAAAGTAGGATAAGAAAACAAGAAAGCATTAAAAAATAAGTTTCACCAAAGAAAAGAGCACTGCAGTCATTACAAGACTAACATATGTCAAAGCAACAATCTCCATTTAAAAGCCTCCAAATTCCAGATGTTGATGTGTCCTGTTTAAAAGGAAAGAAAAAAGTATTGGGATGATTGATTTATTTAAATGACTGGTGGTTATTTATTGCTCATGCATAATTTTATTTATCTTTAAAATAGGCATTCTCCAAATCAACACACACAGAAAGACAAATTAACATGCACAAGTGCACAAATGTTCATCCATGTACAAGGATGGCTAATTGTGTCCCAAACATATG